TCCAATCATACTTGGGTGCCAGATATAGCAGAGGGGAAAAGTGAAGGAGATACACAAAATCATTGAGACAGGGTGTCATCCATAGGCAGGTTGCAGAGTAGTGGAGGGAGCAGCTGTCCTATTTCACCAAATGGCACAGCTCCATGAGTGCAGGGCACTGTTATCTCAATGTCTGCTCCCCAGAGCTCAGCTGTGTGATAAACAGCGATAAACAGCAGTGACTGGGCAGAAGATGACATTTGGCATCCAGATCAGCATAAACCGTAGCAAGGCCACCTCAAGTGCAGCAGTGAGCATATTTATGTCAGCAAAGCTAGTCCTAGATTGACTGGGTATGCATTGTCCAAAAAGAAAGGAGGACGGTAGCAGAGGGAGCAGGAGAACAGCAGAAGCTTTCAGACTATTCATTACATGAAGAGCAGTCATTTGAGATTTTCTTCTGCTGGCTATCATTGGGAGCATCGGCACACTTAACGAAAGTCCCAGTTAACCTGCATGCAGTATAGGTACAGTATAAGTACAGTACAGCCTCAGCACAGGTGCAAAGTAGATGTGGTTCAGATGCAGTAAAGGTTCGGTACAATGTAGTATATCATTGGTATAGGTGCAGTCTAGGTTTGGAATAAGTTCGGTATAGAGTGTAGCATGTGTGCAGTATGAATTGGGTACACTTGGTGTCCTGTTCTCAGTGGCTCAGTCCTTGCTATCAGTATCAGCAATGGATGAATAGCCCTCTAATAAGTCCCTGGGATGCTGCAGTTACCCCTTGCTGTAGAAAGAGGAAACCTCTGTGTATCCCTAAAAACCTCCAGTGATCAGTGGTGGGAAGCAGAGGGTGAGTGGACAATTTCTTGGGTCATCCTGCTGGATCAGACACTGTGTGGCATTATAGTTACAGCACTGGAGGCACAGAGACAGGAGGAAGAGGAGGATATCCTGATGTTTCAGGGCCTGCTATATCCAGACACTGTCCCTGTAAGTCCTCAGCAAGTACAGAAGGAACATGAGAAGGAGGAATATAGTTGCTTTGGCAGTATTCAGGAGAGGTAGGAGAAGAGGAGGCTGTCTTTCAGGGTAGGGTTTCATCCGTTACAACTCCAGAAGGTGTATGATGCTGGGCAGGGGTGGACTGACCTTTTGGAAACTCGGGCACTGCCCGAGGGCCCAGGGTCAGTAGAGGGCCCCATGAGATGCCCCTGGTACCTTTTTCATAGGCTTTTTTGAGTTTGGCCAAGGACACAGGGGCCCCATGATCCCCTTTTGCCCGGGGGCCCCATGAGTTGTCAGTCCGCCCCTGTGCTGGGGGAGTTAGTTCAGGACAAAGTCATTGGGTTCTTCTGCCTCTTATACCTTGTGGCAGATGATGCTGTTCATGCTCCAGAGGCTTCAAAAGGACTCAACAAATCATGGTATCAAGGAACGATATCAATATTAATTGGCAACCCTCCTGGATCCATGTAATAGAATAAAGTCACAGATCTTCTCCTGCCTTTGCAGAGGCAACAAAAGATAAAACACCTCAATGATGTGCTGTTTAAACGTACTTTCCAGAGGCTGGCAGTATACAGTACAGACTAATGGATCATGTAGTTCTGAGCATGGTGTTGTTACAATGAGGAGCACTGGTGGGGATGGCTGCCTAAGCATGGTGTTCAAAATGTTTTTTCTTACCTAGTACCCAGGGCTATCCATTGTCAGCAGCTATTGGCATCGGCTGCATCATGCGGTGGGGGAGTACATGAGCTCAAGGGCCGATGTTAATACCCTCCCAACAGATCCCTCTTGATGATTGGGTAATGAGGATGGACCAGTATTCTCTCTGAATGTACATTTAGTGCTGCAAGGGGCTTTGTGACAGACAAAGGAGTTTGTCAGTCCCTGGACACAGTTGACCATCTGACAAGTGAAAACAAACCAGTCCTGACTTAGCACAAATACAAGACCCTGCTGCAGATGCTGCAGATATTTATTTATTTATGTAGTTGCTGACTTTTAAAATACAGATACTTACTTGTCCCTTGGTTCAGCGGCGTCCTCGCCATGACTGGTATCACCAACCATCTTCTCTCCCCGGCGCTGGTATCTTCAGTGTGGGCACCCGGCTGTGACAGCTGGCGGCTTCACAGCCGGGTACCCACTGCACATGCGTCAGTAGCACTGCACTTTGTGAATGGCCCCGTAGTCTTCTGGGACCTGTCACGTGTCCCAGAAGACTATGGGGAGGGAAGGGGGGAGGACAACTTCTGTTTCCGATTGCCTTAGGTGATCGCAGCAGAACTGGGAGCGGGTACCTGTCAAATTCGGGTGCCCGCTCCCCAAAGGTGCCAATCTTTAACAGGGAGTGGGGGATAGCGCATTAAAGCGGAACTTCCCCTTTTGGGTAGAGATCCACTTTAATACTACTATTATTATTATTACTCGTATCATGTTTATTTAATTGGACTGTTACAATACTTTTTCACAAATAATAAAAAACTCATTAAGCCCAGGTTCACACTGATGCGATGCGGAATTCGCACTGGTTTCTGTGCGATTTCCACACCACATCATAATCGCACCCTGTTCATGCAAACCGCTGCGGGTGTGTATTTTAAGGTAACAACACCCCGAAATTGGTTATCAAATGCAGTGAAACACATGCAATGTGCCACACCACATCAGTGTGAACCCGGGCTAAAAGACACGAAATCGGTCCGCAAAACGCGGCGAATCAGATGCGATGTGCCGCACCACATTAGTGTGAACCCGGGCTAAAAGACACAAAATCGGTCCGCAAAACACGATGAATCACATGCGATGTGCCGCACCACATCAGTGTAAACCGGGCTAAAAGACACGAAATCGGTCTGCAAAACGCGTTGAATCACATGCGATGTGCCGCACCACATCAGTGTGAACCCAGGCTAAAAGACACAAAATCGGTCCGCAAAACGCAATGAATCACATGCGATGTGCCGCACCACATCAGTGTGAACCCGGGCTAAAAGACACAAAATTGGTCCGCAAAACGTGGTGACTCACATGTAATGTGCTGCACCACATCAGTGTGAACCCGGGCTAAAAGACACAAAATTGGTCCGCAAAACGTGGTGAATCACATGTAATGTGCTGCACCACATCAGTGTGAACCCGTGCTAGAAGACACTAAATTTGATGCATCTAAAAAGGTCCACTAAGTAGAAGTGCAAGGCATGATGCAATTGTTTTGCATTAGGGTCATGATTGGCATAGGATGGATCACTCTTCGGGGTTGTGTGTTACAGACCAAGGTTGCCATCAGAAGAAGGCAGAGAGAGGTACCAGTTAGTTCAAAAGTGGATGTAAGGATAAATTCTGATTGATCATCAGTAAAGTCCCTAAAGGCAAGGACACCATTCAAGAAAGTAAGATGATGCTAACTGACTCAAAAACTGGAAGAGCCACTGAGGGTAGAGACCATACATCCAGAAATTCTTTATGCATAGGGAAAAGCTTCTCCAGATGAGGCCACAAGTGAAGAGGGAGTTTCTATTCTTCCATTAGGATGTTTTTTGGATAAGAGGGTACAGGAATGTTCCGAAAGTCTACAGAAAAAGCAAAAGGATGTGTACCTGGACCATCAGGTTGATTGCTAATGCCCAAAGTAGTGTAAGCAACATCAATCAGGTGGGAAAGAACATACAAGATTCATATATAGCACAGTTAAACACAGTCTCAGATGAGAAATAATGAGAGGTTTCAGGAACAGCCGTAGGTGCATCAAGTACTTTTAGAAGGTCTACAGCAGGGCTTGAAATCTCCACTCGCCTGCACGCCAATGGCGAGTGTAAATTATGGTGGGGGCGAGTATGTCCCCCAGGGCAGGGGCATATCTACCGTGAGGCGGCAATTTTTAGGGGGACGGCACCGCTCCCTGGAAGAAGGGACCTTTTGGGCAGCAGCAGACAGAGCCATGCAGGGCCACCAGCAGAGGGGTCACACCGGTACCCTTGCAGTGGCCTGGACAGCAGGAGAATCGATGCGGGATAGGGAAGTTGCAGAGCGATGCTCCTGTACCTCTCCATCCAGCAGCTGACGAGCCGGGACCAGGGGACAGTCTGGAGCAGGGAGAGGAGAAGTGTCGGAGAGGTATAAGCCCGGAGGAGGCGAGCTGTGCTGCGCTCTGTGGGATCTCCCTGCCTCCCTCCATACACTGACGGATCGTATGGGGCTGCAAACCCCCCCCCCTTCATGCTGCCTGGTAATCAGCAGCCCTTGGAGAAGGTGTTTGTGTGCAGCCCCATACGATGTGAGAAGAGAGAGAGAGAGAGGGAAGAGAGAGGGAAAGAGAGAGGGAGAGAGAAGAGAGAGGGGGGGTGATAGAGAGAGAGAGGGAGAGAGGGGGGGAGGAGAGAGAGAGAGGGAAGAGAGGGAAGAGAGGGAGAGGGAGGGGGGGGGGGAATAGAAAGAAAGGGAAGAGAGATAGAAGAGAGGGGGGGGGGGGCGAGAGAGGGGGGGGGAGAAAGGGAAGAGAGATAGAGAGGGGGGAGAGAGAGGGAAAGGGGAGAGGGGGGGGGAGGAGAGAGGGAGAGAGAGAGAGAGAGAGAGAGAGAGAGAGAGGGAAGGAGGGAGAGAGAGGGAAGATGTGTATTTATGTGTATGTACATGTATCTGTGTGTATGCATGTCTGTTAAAATTTTACCAAAGCATATAAAACAATAAAAAGAAACACAAATCAAAATAGGATTCGGAACAGTGGCTATTGAATCGACACAAAACACTTAAAGTGTTACTAAACCCAGGGCCCTGTTTTCATTATATCTGGTCTCCCACAGTACATGGAACATGGAAATGCAATTATTTTAGTAAATATAAACTGTTAAATACCTTTTCTCATCAGCAGTTAGAGCAGTCTTGTAAATTCTATCAGTGTCCAGAAGAGCACTGGTTAAAGCTTGTAGAAGGAGTTTGCATTCTCCTGTGAGACTGCAGGACCCCTGACCCTCTGTCTGGACAGTGCTGATTGGCCCTGTGCTGATCACATGCACCCTCCCAAAGAAAATAAAACATTTAACTAGCAGTACACACCAAACTGAGCATGTGCAGCTTGCCCTAAGGCTCTGTTCTATCAGAAGATGAGTTGGGGACAGTGGAAGAAGGGGAGGATCAAAAAACACAGGATCAAACATCCCTTTTACACATTGAAGAGGATAAACCCCTTAAGTTCCACAGTGAGTATAACAAGCGTGCTTTACTGCATATACAGATTGATTTTACTGTTGTGGGTTTAGTAACATTTGAAAGCAGCAACAACACACTTATTATGTCTGGTAAAGTAATGATTATTATGTCTTGTAAAATAACGAATATGAGTACATACAATACATTACACCCCAATACCACATCATTTCAGGACAAAATCAAAGCTACCACTGAGAGCAAATCTAACCAAATCTATCACAATACAATGACCAATGGGTATAAAAAAGGCAGATAACAACCACAGATTTAGAATAATCTCAAATCATACTGTGGCTTTGAATCAAGAGGGGAATAATGGAGAAGGACTAGAGGAAAAATCTGTAGATAATAACCAAGGAAACTGCTCTTTTTGGAATTTTTTAGGCAGCCCCTGTACTGGTATATCAATCTCTCTATATCTAAGATAGCATCAACTGCATTTTGCCATTGTGCAAATGTAGGAGGACAAGGAGGCAACCACCTTCGAGTTATAAGTTTATGAGCTAGGAAAAAAAATGAGTGTCAACATTAACCTAAATATTGGTGGTATAAGGTGCTCAGGAAAAACACCCAGAATTGGCATTTTAGGGTCTATTAATAATGTAATGCTGCATAGATTTTGAACTGCAGCAAAAATACTGGTCCAGTATGTATAGAGTTCGGGCAATGTCAAAGCATCTGTATTAAAGAGCTGTCAGTGCCAGAGCATCTCGGATAGCAAGATGGATCAATTCTACCCCATGAATGTAATTTCTAGGGCGTATAATAGACGCTATATAATATAAAAAGTTGAGTAAATTTCTGGGACAAGGAAATAGATACAGTGGGTGCTGCCTCTAGTGCCATTGTCTATTGACCATCAATTTTGTCTGTCTCATATTTATCTCTCTCCGCAATGCAGGTGCACCTTACAAGAAGCAGCCAAAATAAAACTGAATATATATTTCCAATTAGATCTGTTTTAGTAACAATATCACTTTACACCTTGTGAGCATCTTGCTTCTGAAAATCATTAACTGAAGCACATTGAGTTTGGCTATATTCACAACTACTGTGTTGATAACTGTTTACTGTACATCCCAATGAAGTTTGGGATTATTAGTCTCGGTATATCATGTTAGGATAGAACAAAATGAATTGAAGTTCTTAGATTGGCCATTAGAAGGTGCTAACAATAAGACATTAGGATGCTGAAATATACAATATATTGCCAAACATTTTGGCCACCCCTCCAAATCATTTGATTCAGGTGTTCCAATCACCTCCAGGTGTATAAAATTAAGCCCCTAGGCATGCAGACTGCTTCTGCAAACATTTGTCAAAGAATGGGTAATTTTCAGGAGCTCAGTGAATTCAAGCTTGGTACCGTAATAGGTTACCCCCTGTGCAATAAGTCCGTCCGTGAAATTTCCTTGCTACTAAGTATTCCAAATATACCACTGTCAACTGTTAGTGGTATTATAACAAAGTGGAAGCAACTGGGTACAACAACAACGTAAAATGACAGAGTGGGCTCAGCACATTCTGAAGTGCATAGTGTGCAGAAGTCACCAACTGTCTGCAGAGTCAATAGCTAAAGACCTCTAAACTTTGTATGGCCTTCAGATTAGCACAACAGTGCATAGAGAGCTTCATGGAATGGGTTTCCATGGCCGAGCAGCAGCATCCAAGCCTTACATCACCAAGTGCAATGCAAAGCGTTGGATGCAGTGGTGTAAAGCACACTGCCACTGGACTCCAGAGCAGTGGAGATGTGTTCTCTGGAGTGACAGATCAAGCTTCTCTGTCTGGAAAGCCAATGGACGTATCTTGGTTTGGCAGTTGCTAGGAGAACAGTACTTGCCTGGCTGCATTGTGCCAAGTGTAAAGTTTGGTGGAGGGGGGATTATGGTGTGGGGTTGTTATTCAGGAGTTGGGTTTGGCCCCTTAGTTCCAGTGAAGGGAACTCTTAAGGCTTCAGCATACCAAGACAATTTGGACAATTTCATGCTCCCAACTTTGTGGGAACAGTTTGGGGATGGCCTTCTCTTCCGACATCAGTGCCTGACCTCACAAATGCACTTCTGGAAGAATGGTCAAACATTCCCATAGACATACTCCTAAACCTTATCTACAGCCTTCCCAGAAGAGTTGAAGCTGTCATAGCTGGAAAGGGTGGGCCAACTCAATATGGAATCCTATGGACTGAGACTGGGATGCCATTAAAGTTCATGTGCGTGTTAAGGAAGGAGTCCTGATACTTTTGGCAATATAGTGCATGTTTTGAATTCTGAGATTTTATTATCTTTTATATTGCTTGGAAATTGAAAATTAAAATTGATTCTTTTAGTAGTATATTTATTTATTGTTTCTTGAGAGGTAACACGCTAAAAGTTCAATTTTTTGCCTGCATCTTTTTTTGTAGACAACCTGGACATGAGTCACCATTGACGGTCACAAGAGACTGGAGGTGATCAATCACTGAAGTTAGGGGAACAGTTAGACTGGAGACCAAAGGGACAAAGAAGGTGTACCAGCAGGTGAACAGTCAAATAAAAGTCCCTGGAAGCCAGATAAGCAGGAAGGGATGTAGGGTTTGGATGTGCACAGCAATATCCTTAGCAGACGACATTAGTACAGAGTTAACTTAGGCCTAACAGAGAAAATGGGAATGGTAAAGTTTAAATAATAGTAGGGTCCACTTTTAAAATGAGAACTAGTAAGCTGTCTCATGGTATAAAGCCCGTATAATAAATTGTCCATAAAAAATACACACCGTGGAGGCAACAGGGGGCAGAATCCAGTTAGAAAAGAAGTATATAGCAAAATATGTAATCTGCCAATGTACCTTATCGGCATAAAAGTAGGGACTAATTTTGAATGTGCCATGGTGCAAAACATGGAAAGAGCAGCTAAGACACAGTGCTTAGAGGGCTGAAAAGACATCTGTGCAAATAGTAGTATGCAAACATATTTTCAATAGTAATACGTCCCATAGAGAGCCCACCAGAAGGTGGAAGCAATAATAGCCATATTATATTGCCCAGTGGCAAGGACAACTATAGATCGGAGGAAATTTACTAAAACTGGAGAACAGAGCATCTGGTGCAGCTGTTTATAATAACCAGTCAGCTTCCAAATTCAGCTTGTTCAATGAAGCCTTGATATTAACACCTAGTAGGTGATTGGTTACTATGCAGAGCTGTACCAGATTATCTGTGCCCCAGTCTTAGTAAATATTGCCCATAGAGTTAAGAGTCTGTAGGTTCAGAATCTAATATCAGGCGATAACCAAAGGTTAGATACAGAAGTAAATAGCAGAGCCTAGAAGAGATTGTGTCATGCTCTGAAAGAAAAGTGTATTACGGAGGGATATACTAATATTCACCAAAATGAGCATTCAGAGACTGAACTAATGAATGCATCGCTGCCCTTGAGCACACTTTCCTACTAAATTATACAATGTCCACAGGGCTGGAATTATCATAATGCATGTTTATAGTGTATTAGCAGGTTATATTGCCATGATCAGAGGCAAATTTAGAAAAGGAACAATTAGCGTCAACTAGAGAGTTACAACTGCTGTAATATTATTGCTCTGAAAATGCAGAGTGCTCCGTGACTATCTGGCCCAGAACACAGGATCCGGAAGGCTCCAGAATGCAAAACATAGTGTTCCATTAAGATATATTGAACATTATTCTGTGCTGCAAGTGATGTTTGGGGATTCACTCCATGGTGGTGTTGCCTCAGGAGAAAGAGATGGGAAGGTGTTGAAAATTAAGCCTTGACTCAAGGTGTTAGGCAAAAAAAAAAACAGTTTCAATATCATCATTCAGGTCATTAATGAGTTAAAAGAACATAGTCACACACAAGGAGGATCCATTGTTTTAGAATAGGACGGGGTAGTGTACAAAAAACACTTAACCTGTAGCTAGCAATGACGGTCACATATAAAAATATGCTATTCCTAAACTGACATTGAGGTATAGAGCACAGAGATAGAACACACAGTAATAGTGTCACAATTCTAAACCTGCAAATAGCATTCTGCCAGTATAAGGCATAGTGCCATGGCAGATACGAATGGCCGATGGAACATAAAAATTCACATACAGAGGTAATAGAGACTGGTTGACTGTTGTATAAATAAATAATTGTACCACCAAAATAAATGTGTGTGAAAGAATAAAATAAATCAATATGTTAAATAAATCCAAAGTAAAAAAAAGACTATCTCAAAATGTGAGTGCAATTATACTCATAACACATGTGGAGAAAAGTCTTTTTATTAGAGAGCAAAACCAGGTGTTATGGATAGAGAAACATGAAGTGTCTTCCAAAAAATCAGTCTAATCTGCATCAAATCTGTATGTGGACTTTCACCGAACACCCAGTGAATTGCACACTGGGCAGAAATATAAGCTGCAAAGAGTGTAGCAAACACAGCCTGATCAGTCAAGGCACAAATGCTCCCTCTGTGTAGCTCCAGCCTTCTCATGCACTCCTCATCTCTTCACACAATAGATTATTGGCATGGACTGTAGTGATAAAGCTCACCAATGGAGTAGACTGAATATGGCTACAGTGTAGTAATTCATTAAGAATCAGGGGCGGACTGACCATTTGGAAACTCGGCACTGCCCAAGGGCCCGGGGTCAGTAGGGGGCCCCATGAGATAGGGGGCTTTTTTGAGTTTGGGCAAGGACACAGGGGCCCCATGATCCCCTATTGCCAGGGGGCCCCATGAGTTGTCAGTCTGCCCCTGTTAAGAATATTAGAATTATATAATAAACTGCATCCAAATAGGGGAAAATATAAATAAAACAGCATGTAAAACTCACATCAAAGGCATCTACACTAGAATCGGTGCAGCGGCATGACGTTAGTGCATAGACTACATCCTACGTGTTTTGTCTAATAGTACATCTTCGGGGATCTATCCATAACACTTAGTTTTGGACTTTAATATTAAGACTTTTCTCTCCATTAACTTGTTTTATATACATGTTTTGTGACACTATTAGTTAAAGTATAGTTGTATTTGTATATTGTGATTATCTTTTTTTTTTTATTTAGATACGACGGTTCATCAAAAGTTTCCACACTTTTTTTAACATATACATATGTATAAAAGTGTGGACAGTTTTTGAGGACCCCTTGTATATTTCTGTTATTTCATGTATTGATTGATTTCATTCACATACATTTATTTTGGTGAGATTGCAATTATTTATTTATACAAATACAAACCCATCAGGATTTATATATAAATCTATTGTTGCTAGCAGCTTATGTTTGATACCATAGATCTAACTTTGTTTTGATTTTGGTAGATCACTGTTGGCTAATAGGCTCAGATAAATGCCTAGAAAATAGCACAATATAGTAAACAGTGGTAACCATCACTAGAAAACATGGAGACTGGGTCATCTACAGGGGTGAACCACTGCTCTAACATTCTGGATGTGCTCTGTTGGTAACTGATAAGAACTTACATTTGTGAACAGTGCCCCATGCAGAGACATAACTCAGAACATGCTTATCTGGATATCTGGATCTCAGGGAGACACTAGAGTTGGGTGCACTATAGGTTGTAACACTGATCTAAAGGTGTCAGTGCTCTGTAGCTAAATGGCACACAGGCCTGGAAGGCACCAAGATGCAGAGTTTTTAGAGCACTTACCACTTACCTAGGTATCTATGTCAGATGTAGACATTAGAGATTTGGCAACACTAGGGGCTTCACCGATACACTTGTACTATAAAAACTGGAGAATGCTGTACTCTAAAACCTGGAGAATGCCCTATGGCTGACTGACACAGTACCAAGGTCTTGAAAGCACCAAATGCAGAGCTTAGAGCCAGAAGGTCACATTCCAATTTCTCCTGCCCATTGCCATCCTCACAAAGGAGTCTTCAGGGCCTGGAACACAGCAGAGGCTAAGTTTACCTCTCAAAGGAGTCTTCAGGGCCTGGAACACAGCAGAGGCTGAGTTTGCCTCTCAAAGGAGTCTTCAGGGCATGGAACACAGCAGAGGCTGAGTTTACCTCTCAAAGGAGTCTTCAGGGCATGGAACACAGCAGAGGCTGAGTTTACCTCTCAAAGGAGTCTTCTGGGCCTGGAACACAGCAGAGGCTGAATTTACCGCCCTGGACCTGTAAACCACTTTGGAGCTAACAAACAAGTACACTCGCTATCTGGGGAATCAATGCCACTAGCAAAGCCTAGTGCCCTAAGGTTATATTACAGGCTAGCCCTACAGTCTTTAGTCTAGTGAGGTCTGGGTATGGCCGTTAAGGAGGCCTCAAGGCTTAGCTTATCTGAATAGCTGCATAAAGAGTCTAGCTCAGTAGAATTTTGATTGGAGACTTGTATGCAGTGAAAAAAGCAAAAGTTTATTGTGGCTGTCCCTGTTCTCACTGATGCAAAACATTCCTATTGCTAGCCAAATTATATCAAGTTTTCATTAAGTATTAAAGAATATGTAAACCCAGCATTTCATATTCCCAATATGTGCCTGTTGTACCATGTACTTGTATGAAAAAGCATCCTGTTCTCTTTGTATTGCTTCCTTTGTGTGAAATCCCTGGTGTTCTTGCCAGTCCCTCTACTTTCCTTTTTAAAACTGACCACACTAGGCAGGAGAACACACTGTGATCAGTTCTCTAGCTGTGCTGGTAACTCAGCCTACTCTCCTCCAAAGGTAAGAGCACAACCCCCTGCACAGCCTTTCACTGGGAATATCAGTGTGCTGCTATTTCCCCTCCCCCAGCTCTTATGCAGCTGAGAACAGTAGCAATTTTTCTCATTTGCTGCTACTATAGAGCCTTATAGAGACTGCGCTGTGCTGCCATCTAGTGCCCTGATTGAGCCTCAGAGACTTTGCTTTAAAGTGATACTAAACCCATGGCCCTGCATTCACTATATCTGGTCTCCCACAGTACACAAAACAAAACATGGAAATGCAATTATTTTAGTAAATATAAACTCCTAAATACATTTTCTCATCAGCAATATATAGCAGTCTTGTGACTTCTATCAGTGTCCGGCGAGCGCTGGTTAATCTTGTAGGAGGAGTTTAGTTATAACTCTCCTATGAGGCTGCATGACCCCTGACCCTCTGTCCGGACAGTGCTGATTGACCCTGTGCTGATCACATGCACCCTCCCCCCAAAAAAACCTCTCTATATATGCACTAAACTGAGCATTTGCAGATTGTCTCCTAAGGCTCTGTTCTATCATCAGATGGATTGGGGACAATAGAAGAAGGGGAGGATCAGAGAAGACAGGATCAAACAGCCTTTTTATATAATGCAGATGATTAACCCCTTAGGTTCTACAGTGAGTATAATAAGAATTCTTTACTGCATAAATAGACCAGGGGCGGACTGACAACTCATGGGGCCCCTGGGCAATAGGGGATCATGGGGCCCCTGTGTCCTTGCCCACACTCAAAAAAAGCCTATAAAAAGGTACCAGGGGCATTTCATGGGGCCCCGTACTGACCCCGGGCCCTTGGGCAGTGCCCAAGTTCTCGAATGGTCAGCCCGCCCCTGATACAGACTGATTTTACTGTTGTGGGTTTGATGTAATTTACACTTTAATGTAATTTCTTATAAAAAGGGAAAAAAGGTATTTATAGTGTACATATATATATATATATATATATATATATATATATACACATTCTATTTTAAACTGAATGGGTTGTTTTACAAGGTGAAAGTTTACAATCACTTCAAGAGACATGCACACAATGTAGTAGTGTTAAAGAAAAAAGTATACACCTATATTATACCTGAAAGAACAACTCAGTAAGTTTTTCTTTTTTTTACCTTTTACTCTACCTATTGTATATTTACAGAAAAAAGGAAGAATTTGATTTGCTGGAATGATTTATAAAAATAGGTATTTCACACATTAGAGCTCAACTCTAGGTTGCTTTTAAAATGTACCTATGTCCTCCCCTAATAGCTTTTACATACGTCCGGTACTGAGGGGAAAAATGTAGACTGGAAGTATTATTTTTATTATTATACAGGATTTATATAGCGCCAACAGTTTGCGCAGCACATGACAAAATGAAGGTAGACATTACAGTTACAATACAATTTGGTACAAGAGGAAACAGAGGGTCCTGATCCTTAGAGCTTACAATCTCAAGAACAATTTCCAGAGCTACCATTCTAATCCCACTTTTACCCAGGGAGTCACTGATATAGAATAAGCATGTAGGATAAAAATTCAGACTTTTCAAACATCAAAGGCAATATTTTTGCTCAAGGCCAGTGGCTCGGCAGGTAGTAATATCAGACACATGAGGGCAGATGTGGAGCCTGCACCATTAAAAACAAATCGGCAAAGGCCACTGACATTTTTAATCCTCCTAAAGAGTCTAAACCACTGATTTTTTATAACAGATTGGTTGCTTATGGCAGAATAAAACAATGAATGAATACATTCTAAGTCTGCTCTACCACACTGTATTTCTGCTTCCAATTTTGAAAATTTTACAAAACTACAATAGTTTTGAGTCAACTGGGATTTTAAAGTGTATTTTTTTTTAATGACATTTTTTTTTCACTGAGAGCATAGGAGACGTTGCTTCCTTTCAGGCTCTCTTTCTTTCTGTCTTTGATTAAAATTTTGGACAGAGCCATATAGAGAAAGGAGGATTTGCCGCTGATCTGATTCCTTCACACATGAGTGAAAGTTTTAGCTTGAAATACTAAGCTCTTTAAACAGGTTATTTTCAACAGGGGATATGAAAAAAAATCAGAACATCTAAAAAGAGCCAAAAGCTCCACTTGCTGGCTAAATATGAAAATATAAAATATTAATTGGCAATACCTGATATTTACCTGACATTTTTTAGAAATGCTTAAAATATTACTTTTCAGCCCTAAATATAATTAACAAAGAAAAAAAAATATAAAGATATAAATAACACCACTATCCATTACCTGTTAACACGAGATACACATTATATAAATAGGTTTTCTCTGCTATTTGTAGTCACCACTGTTTATTGGAACTAAAATAACTGCATTTCCCTGCCTCTGAAGTAAATGGCTTGTGTCCCTCATTCTAATTCCATCCAGTATTGATTTCATTGCTCTCAAACATTTGTCTGCAAAAATACCCTTCCCTGTTGTTCTGAAAATACTGCCATAATTCTGTCATTCATAATAGACAATTACAAGGTCCTTGACACTACTTGTCTGCCAAAAGTTTTTGGAACAAAACATTGTACAGAGCAGTGGTGTTTGTGGTGTCTGATAATAGGGCATTTTAAGGGCAAATGTATTGAGAAGTATCTTGTGGCTGAAATGTTGTTATAAACTGCTCTCCAGTCTTAATCGCTCTTGCCTATTGTACTGGCTGCTTGCCATATAGATTATGAAACTGAACACATGTCATTTATCTGATGGAAAGAATAAAGGAATCAAGGGAACTGCAAGGCACAGTAATATGATACATGATAATGAACTGAAAGAAACCAGTTTCCCTTTGATGCACATTACTGTGATCATAATGGTGGCACTCTAATGCAAAATTTCTTGAGATGCTCCTGAGTGGCTGTCCAACATTTGGTATTTATATTGGAAAAAAAAATTACTTTAAAGTATGTATGCCAGCTTTCTTTACACTGCATTCGTTTTGGCGAACTCAGTCGTTCTCAACCTTTTCAACACAGAGGAACCCCAGAAATAACTTTCTGGTCTCAGGGAACCCCTGCAAAAAGTTACTATGTCTAAAACTCATGATACAATAGTGTGATGGTCAGTGGGAAGAATGTTCCTAACATTTGTGTCATTGGGAAGAATTACCCCCTTACAGATAGCTAAAAAGATCATTGGTATCAGTAGAAATGTATCTGAGAGTCAGAAATTTCTCATTGTTCAAGAAACCCCTAGCAACCTCTGGAGGAACCTTAGGGTTCCATGGAACCCTGGTTAGAAACCCTGCTCTAACTGATTCCTGTCTGCCCACTGTACTTAAACGGTGGGACGAGAGCAGTGCCAATGCAGGTTGACGTACCAGTATGTCACTCAGCATCTGACACTTGTGCCTGCTCCCTGGGAATGCACAGCGGGACACTGATTGCTGTAGCAAGCCACTGTCGGCAGCCATGGTACCATGTAATTGATGACTGGCTAATCAGCAATCACATGGATGTAGTAAACAAGATAGCATTTCCTGGCATCATTGTTTGCTACCAGGGGCGGACTGACAACTCATGGGGCCCACGGGCAATAGGGGATCATGGGGCCCCTGTCCTTGCCCAAACTCAAAAAAGCCTATGAAAAAGGTACCAGGGGCATCTCATGGGGCCCCCTACTGACCCCGGGCCCTCGGGCAGTGCCTGAGTTTCCAAATGGTCAGTCTACCCCTGTTTGCTACTATGTGATTTATATGATTGATCACAGAGATCACATGTTAGAAGGTCATTCACAACAGCCTTGTACCCTGTGATAGCTGTGTCAATCACAGCTATCAACATTTTCTCAATGGCCACAGGAATGCAGCTGAAGAGAGTGAGAAATGCTTGTTTGTACAGCCACATCACTATGGTGACACTGTACTGCTAGGAACACAGTATGACAGTAAAAAACAAAAAAGAAAGGCAGAAAAAAATGTACTGTAAATAAATAAATGAGAATGTAAAAATAAAATATTGAAAAAAATATACTTTTTTTCTTTTAATCTCACTGTCACCAGTCAGTGTCCCTAATTACTGCAACATTAGTTAACAACTTGCCTTTCAAGCCTATTCTGACACTTCTCACATATTACACATGTAAAAATTATTAGATAATTACTTAGAACCCCCACACAATATATATTTTCTAAAAGCGGAGGCCTGGGGGAAAAACATGTTGGGTGTTGCAATTTATTATGTTACACAATATTTGTGTAGCATTTTTTCAAACGCAAATTTGGGGGGGAAAGTTTTTGTTATACAATTTTGTAAATAAGTGATTTTTCTCCTTCACTGATGTGCGCTAATGAGGCTGCAGTGGTGGGCACTGATAGGCTGCACTGATGGACACTGATAGGTGGCACTGATGGGCACTGATGAGGAGGCACTGGTAGGTTGCACTGATGGGCATTGACAGGCATCACTGATGGGCACTGAAAGGCAGCACTGATACATGACACTGATATATATGGTACTGATAGGCGGCACTGATAGGCGGCACTGACTGGCACTGATAGGCGGCACTGACTGGCACTGTTAGGCGGCACTAACTGGCACTGATAGGTGGCACTGACTGGCACTGTTAGGCGGCACTGACTGGCACTGATAGGTGGCACTGACTGGCACTGATGCGCACTGATAGGCGACACTGACTGGCACTGATAGGTGGCACTGATTGGCAGCACTGATAGGTGGCACTGATTGACATTGATAGGTGGCACAGACTGGCACTGATGGGTGACATTGAAAGGCAGCTCAGATGGGCACTGATATGTGACATTGATGTGGCACTGATGGGCACTGGCACATGGCAATGATGAGCACTGACAAGTGGCACTTCTGGGGCCACACTGATCATCAGGGCACACTGATCATCAGTGCCCTGATGATCAGTGTACATGTCCCCTCCGCGGAAAGCCGATTACCGGCTCTCCTCTCCTCTCGAGCTGTCAGCGTGACAGCTCGAGACGAGAGAAATGCCGATAACCGGCATTTCCGTGTTTACATGTGATCATCTGTGATTGGACACAGCTGATCACATGACCGAGCCGACATCTTCAACTCTTTCCGTGATCCACTGTGTCCGAGGGACACAGCACACCGGCGATTGCCGTACTGCGCGCTCCCTGAGCCACGCATGCGCAGTGAGAATAGTAGGACGTCATATGACGTCCTATCAGAACAAGAGAACCACCTTGCGCCCGTCATTGTACTATAGGGCAGGCAGAAGGTGGTTAAAACAAACAGGTCTCTCTTCTGCCCTCAAAAGTATCTGATCAAACTGAGATTGGTTTGATCAGATGTTTTCACAACAACTTGCAAACAACAAACTGAAACTGGAAGTGACAAAATGCTCATAACGTCTGGTTTCAAACATCATGGAGATGATCGGGGAACTTCCATTCCTCCCTCATCTTTATGGTACGCCGGTGGAACTGCCGACTTAAGTTCTGGGCTCTCTGGTGGAATGGAATGGGAGAGCCCAGAAAAGTGGCGGAAAGTGGGGGAAGGTGGCGGAAGGAGGGGGCTATTTAGCCACTCAGATCACTTTTACATTATTCAGCATTGTCTGAAAAAAAGATTCCAGGGTCATGATTGCAGCTGCAGCCATGATCCTGGTAGAACCATTTAAACCACAGGACATATGGGTACTTCCACACGGGACAAGTGTCCCTGATCACCACCACACCAGTCATATTGAGAACTCTCTTGTTTTCCTTTATATAGCCTCCTATACTTCCTGAACAGTGAACATGGCATTTGTGGGGACAGCCACGCATGAGCAGGCTAGGCTTACATGGTTTATAGGAACAGGGACTGCTATAGGTGACACTACACTAAACTATATTCCCTGACCACTTGTATTGAGGCAATCATTACAGTACATTGTTGTTGACACAATTGGTTGATTTGTGTGATATACAAGATACAATGTCAATGATATAATTAGTCCAGACATTGAAAAAGTTTCACACATGCAGTATCATCATACTCAGAAGTAGTCAAAATGTTTTTTGGGCTGTACTTGTAAGTATGCCTATGCTGTGTGTGAAAAATATCTTATTAAATTGCCAATTATGTTTAAAAAAAATTATTTTCATTTTCTTTCTGCATTTCCCAAAAGCGTTTGTCAAAAAATGAAGTCTTCAAAAGACCCACCATACCTCTTAAAAATAACCCGGGGTGTTTTCTCTACAAAATGTGGTAATTTTATGGGTATTTCCACTGTCCTAGTGCTGCAGAGCCTCCAAAAATGCAATAGGTAGTCAGTAAATTAGATGTGTAATTTAAACTCCCTATAAAGCATAAAGGTGCTCCTTGGAATTTGGGGATCTCTGTGTGGCTAGGCTGGTAGCCTCCCTAGCGTTCTGATTATGTCCATATTTCTGTGCTCAAAGCAGTACATTTTTTTGCATGGAAATATGTATTTTTTTTATTGTAGGCCTGTAATTTTTAGGAATAACTCACTGAAATCTGTCCGAACAAGAGTCTAGTAAACATCCCGGGTATGTTAAAATTTGAAACACAAAATCATAAATTATAATTTAATAAATAATCATAAAAAATAATATAATAATAATAATTAATTAAATAATATAATCAAACCAAAAACACTGAAATTTGAAATATAGTGCTAAGTTCGCACATCACTGAGCAAAGTCGCAAAATCGTTTTCAGTGTCTGATGACGAATTTCCCCACAAATCATTATCACTCAATTCTGCAAGTGGTTCTAATTTACTATCCCTGTTCTCTAGCTGGCCTAAAACCACTTTTGACCTAAAGGGACGCTTTTTGGACACCATGGACGTTTCTCAGTTTCCAGGCAGAAAGAACAGTAAAAATGCAGGCAGGGCACAGGACAAAGCACTAGGGACAAAATGTATCTGAAATGGTTTGATACAGTAATGTTATACTATGAGATTTTAGTGAATTTAGTGAATGTCACTTTTACAACTTTCAAATTTCCCGCCAGTTCCATCCCCATAAGTCCTGACGTCGCAGGGAACGGAACCCAGAAGACAGATGCCGGCATCTAACGGAGGAAATTGTCGGGGACACTGCAGGAGGGGCACCGCGGGAGCGCAGGACAAGGTAAGTGAAGAAGAGATCCCAGAGCAGCGCTACAGGGTATTCCTGAGTGTAGCTCAGGGTTACCGCTTGTGGTGCTGAAACTTTACCCCAAGCTACACTCAGGAATACCACTAGGAAGGTTAAAAAGTCTTATGCATGTGGGTGGAGGAGTAGCAGAATGTGTTTTGGGGTGTTTTACTAAGTATGCCTGTGATGCATGATAGAAATATCTTAATAACTGACAACTTTGTGTAAAAAAATACATTTTCATTTTCTTTCTTGCATTTTTAAAAAACTTGTGGCAAAAATGATATTTTAAAAAGGCTCACGCCTTTCAGAAAATACCTTGGAGCACTTGCTTTCCAAAATGGGGTCATTTTGTGGGTGTTTATACTGTCCTGGTGCTCCAGGGCCTCCAAATATGTGATAGGTAGTAAGAAAATTAGATGCGTAACTTATGCCCCTGAAACTCCTGAAGGAGCTCCTTGGATCTTGGGCCCCTCTATGCATTTAAGGTTATGATTGGGGTGTAATTCTAAGCATGCCCATGCTGTGTGTAAGAAATAACTTTGTTAAAATAACAACTTTGTGGAAAAAAAATATATTTTATTTAATTTTTTAATTTTCCACAAATTTGTGACAAAAAAGTACATCTTGAAAAAACTCACCATGCCTTTTACTAAATACTTTGGACTGTCTATTTTATAAAATTGGTAATTTTGGGGGAATGTTTCCTGGCATTGTAGGATCTCAAGAAATGAGATGGCAGTTAGTACATCAGGACTGATCAATTTTCAAAAATATGTGCCATATTTTGTAGATGCTATAACTTTCACACAGGATAGATAATATACACTGCCCCCTCTATCTCTTCTTTTGGCTCATTGGCTGTGATTGATTCATTGGCTTGCTGTCTCAGCCAATAAGGAGGCAGAGACTGGGGACAGCCGAGGCTGTCATTCACATCTCTGGATCTCGATGGGGCTCAGGTAAGTATGGGGGGGGGGGCTTGGGGCACTGCTGTACACATGAAGGTAAAAAACCTTGAGACTTTACAACCGCTTTAAGTAGGAGACCACACTATATTTAACTAGGCTATGTACGTCCTAGCAACCTACCTAGGAGGGTGCTACACAGTTTTTTTGTAAAGGTGAGCTATGCCTGTAAGGAAGTGCCTATGTCAAACACCAGGAGAAGAGGCAGTAGAGAACATATAATTTCCTGATCTTAATTTCTTCTTTATATTGGCCTTTTTTACCGGTGCTTGACACTTTCTGGGTGTATTTATTAGGCAGCATGTACTGTATATTCACCATTATCCAATTAAAAGTACAAGTCTCCATTCTACATTAGGAAGTCTATCAACATTTCCTGCACTGAAATTTATAAACACAAATGTTGAATCCCACAGGTTTACTTTCTTTCTCTGACCTCTGGATTTGAAGAAGTGAAAACAGGAAGTTTGTGCTCATGCAAAACATTGTTGCCAATGGGGATTCTTCATGGTCTTTTAAATTAAAAAAATATATGAAAATAATAAAGGAAGAATATTGGTTTCCTCGGGGGGATCTGGATAGCTTTCCAAATCTGTACCAAATGCAAATATAAATTTGTATGTACCAGTTAACTCATCTCCACTTTTGTTTTTAATAAGTGAAGTTTATTACAACCCAAATTCCAAAAAAAGCTGGTACTATGTGTAAAATCTAAAAACAGAATGCAATGATTTACAAACCTCATAAACCCATATTTTAGCAAATGTTTAATCTGAGAAAATGTACCATTTTAAGAAAAAAGTATATTATGTGTATATGTATATATACATATACACGTAGGCCTGGCTTGCAGTCTCCACTCTAATTCATCCCAAAGGTATTCTATCAGGTTGAGGTGAAGACTCTGTGCAGGCCAGTCAAGTTCCTCCACCCCAAACTCGCTCATCCATGTCTTTATGGACCTTGCTTTGTACACTGGTGCGCAGTCATGTTGGCACAGTAAGGGGCCATCCCCAAAATTATTTCCACAAAGTAGGGAGCATGAAATTGTCCAAAATGTCTTGGCATGCTCACACCTTCACTGGAACTAAGGGGCCAAGCCCAACCCCTAAATAACAACCCCACAACATAATACCCCCACCAACAAACGTTACACTTGGCACAATGCAGTCAGGTAAGTACTGTTCTCCTGGAAACCACCAAATCCAGACAAGTCCATCGGATTGCCAGACAGAGAAGCATGATTCATCACTCCAGAGAACATGTCTCCTCATGGAGCTCCATGAAGATACTGAGAAGCAACACTTTGACGTGTAGCTCTTGATTCATGTAATTACTTTGGGTGCCATCACGATTGCCCATCCACTTTGAATCTGCTTATGGCTTGTCCCTTTGGGCTCTTGCAGAGTCACAGCTCCCGGGTGAGACTCCCCTGGTGATCACCATTTGGAAACACTGTCATATGCATTTTTAGCTGATTTATATTATACATGCGTCTACCCCTGAAGAAGTAAACAAAGAATCACAAACGCATCAAGTGTTTGGATGCAATTTTAATGTAATTATGTATTGACATCTGGATTGTATATGGTCAATAGTATATCCAATTATGTATGAAATGCATTAATATGGGTTTATTACGAATCAGCTTCTTACCCTTTTTTCCTCTTTTTGTATGCAATGAGAAGTTTATTCATTTATTAAAAATTAATGTTGGAAACTAGTTTTTCGTTAGTCATGTGTGTTGTGCCTCATTTAAAGGTCCAGGACAAATATATTGGTTCTATTAAGCAAAAAGAATGTCATATTTTGATTTGTCTGACAACAGAACTATTTTCCACTTTGCAACCGACCCTTTTAAATGAGCTGTGGCCCAGAGAAGATGGCGGTGTTTATGGATCATGGTCAGATATGGCTTCTTTACCTTGCATTTTTGGATGTCACAGAAAACTGTGTTCACAGACAGTG